CATGTTAACTTTTGTCAACTTTTCACAGACTCCCTCCCCACCTCCCCCCCCAACCCCTCTGAGCTGAAGTCATTTGTGAACGGCCCTTAGAGTAAGCTATTTGACGAAGCTACTACAGTGGAGTCCTGTTATAACGAGAGGGAGAGGACCGGTGCGAAATGTCCGTTATAGCAGGATTCTCGTTGTAAGGAATCCAGTAATAAATTGAATGGAAATAATGAAGTAGGCCTAATCTATCAGTTTGGTGTTCTGTTTAATTCTTTGTTATCTCCCCTGATGATGACATTGTTCAACATGACCTCTAGGTCTTACTTGATCAAAAATCAGATCAGGTTTCTTTCTCAAGCGCTAGCGATGTTGACAGCACGGCGTTGGCGATCAGAAAGAATGCGCTCTGGCTCTGGGCTAACTCGTCCTCTGTGTTGTCCCCCACCCCACCACACCCCGTGGTGTGTTTCGTCTGCTTGCGCACACTACTACACATTCACTCCATCCGTCACAGCATTGTGACCTCTCCATCCCCGCATCGGAGAAGTGAGGGCATGTGTAGTGGTTGGCCTAGATAATCTAGACTAGGCTGGCCTATCACACGATGAGTTCTGCTTGTCTGCGCTTGCCACACCCTCCCCACTCATTCACTCCAACCTTCATTGTTGGCAAACGTGGGCTCTCCTATTCTTTGTTTTGCTCAAGGAATTGATGTGAGATCCTAGGTTTCGCTAGATCACCAACAAGTTTCTCAACTGGCGAGGTTTATATGTATAACTGGCCTGTGCGCTGAGCACAGCAGCAGCCATATTCCGTTATAACCGACTCCCCTGGTTGTCTGATAGCGCTATAGCAGTATTTTATTTACAAAGGTAAAGAAGGGAAAAAACGGGGTTTTAGGATAGTGTCTTTATAACAGACTTCTCGTTGTTTCAGGACTCGTTATAAGTGGACTCCACTGTATTTGAGACCTAAATGATACTGGTTTGTTTTCATGTCTAGAAAACATTCTAGACACTGGTAGAGTATTCTACACAACTATTAGAAACATGCATGGTATTGGTTTGAATCCTGTATAAAAACAACAAACAAACAACTGTTAGAGTAGGCGAAACTACTAGATATATTTATATGTACATGTGTGGTATTGGTTTGAATCCAGTATAAAAACCGTTAGAGTAGGCGAAACTACTAGATATGTATGTAGGGCCTACATGAGTGGTATTGGTTTGAATCCATGAGAGGAACTGTTAGTAGAGTAGGCGAAACTACTAGATATATGATATGTACATGAGTGGTATGGGTTTGAATCCATGAGAGGAACTGTCAGATCAGGTTTTTCTACTGCTAGAAACATGAAAGGTTTTGCTTTGAATCCGTTATAGTTATAGACGCCTGATATTTTTACACCCCCATGGACACAATTTAGGTCATTTAGGAAATAGGAGGCAGATCTCGAGCCTGCCTGTCAAGGCCCGACGCCCCAGAAGAAACACTGAGCTACTCGATACAAATTCTCCGTCCACTAGAATCGAACCCGGGTCTCCTGTGTGCAGGGATGAAATATCTAAAGGCTACACCATAGAGGCCGGCTACCAAGTGACAGCCTCCAACCCCCGATGTGAATATCAAGAACATGATTTACTTTCGGTGACATTACTGACAAGAAAAACACAAATAGATGAAAGAAAATAAAAAAACAAGATCCAAAATAACCCCCAAAAAACAAACAATCACGGGCGAGAATAGCTTGTTGTACTTTGCACCGATGACGTCACAAGAGTGATATTTGTTTCCAACGTCGTCTTCAAGTGTTTGTAGAAAATGTTCTTACTTGTGGGGGACGAGTTGTCCCCCCCCGCCCCCCACCTTTTGTCCCGAATTGTCCGCGCCCCTTCATGGTTTGTCCCAAGAGCTCTGTTTATAGATCGAGATCGTTAAAAGCGGCACAAGTAGCTGTTTTATTGCCCGTCTCTCCAACTCGAGGCCCGGAGAGAGAGGTTGTTTTGGGAGTTTTATAGCCTCGTGCCAAGCGGAAATCTGTAACGAGTTTGGCGGTGCCCTTACTTATAGGAACTAGACATGTTATCGGGTAGTTCTGCTGGCGTCATCACGTCATCATTTTGTGCGTGACTCGCCACTTTCGTGTCTTTGATGACGTCATGCAATAATGTGTGGCATTTATATGGCGCATTTCCGTAATTTACAAGGCCCAGTGCGCTTTTCAAGACACATTAGTAGCTTTCTGTGGCAGTAAAACACACACAGCTCTCTCACACAAGGGTGCTCATGTACACAAAGCTGACAGATAACCACACAAATATATATATATATGAATGTATACACGAATGTATACAGGGGTAGAGGCCGTGACGGGTAAGGGCAAAAATCAGTTCATATAAAAATAGAATGGGAAAGTAGGACCACCGGAAGAAAGCTTTTGACTGGGAGATTTCCAAGTTACGTTATTGCAGGCAAGGGCAAGTTTAAACCTGTCACAGGCCGGATTAGGCCATTCCGAATGTCTCGCGGGCCAAAGCAAGACGATTTTTAGTTAAGCAAGACGTTTGCGGCATTTGCAACACTATTAGGTCATTATCATAAGCGCCGAAGATTATCGTGCTGTCAAAAATTCGTGGTGCGACTTGTTGTCAAATATCTCTTCAACTATCGAACATAGGTTCTCCAATTTTTGCACAGTGACTTGTATCAATTTGTCTTAACAGATCAACATTTTTATAAACACCTGCAAGCTGTATTCTAGAAAATTCCTTAATAAATACTAGATCTAGATTCTAATTTAAAAAATCCTAGTGGGTGGCTTCTACATATTTTTTAATGTTTACA